AGGGAGCCGGGGCGGCCGGGGGGTCCGGGCCCGCGGGAGCCTCCGGCCCGCGAAGGCGAGGCGGTTTCGGGTCCCGACTACGAGGAGGATGAGGAGGAGTACGAGGAGGTGGCGCCCGTCCACCAGTACATCGTGGACGACTTGATCCGAGGTGAGTGGGTGGGAAGGGGCCCGCGTGTGGGGTGTCCTCTACCTGCGAGCCGCCGGCTTTTTCCTGCCTCACCTCTGCTGTCGGGCTGCTGCATCTGGCTGGGCGGGTAAGGAGCAGAAGCGCCTTCCTTAAAGCTGTTGTGTTAACGCTGTGTCGATGGGGGTGACGACTTAGTATGAGTGAAGTTAGGGTGTGTGAAAGCTGCAGGCTAGCCGAGTGCCTGCAGTACTGCTGCTCTCCTGATAAACCTGAAAGGAGAGATGTGATAGGCATGGCCAGCTGCCTGGTATGAAAGTATCAGCAGGATTTCTGGTTACTGCTTGGCGTCAGAGGTGGATTTTTGATCAGGTTGCCCCTTCTGCAGTAAGGCTTTCGTGGGTGTTTTCTCATGCTACTAGTCTGGGTTAAAGTTGACTAAAATTTCCTGGGGGAAGAAAACAGAACCTCAGAGTGTTCATAGAAGAATGCATCACAGCATCTTTCAGGCAAGACTGTGTTGTCAGTAGCCATTGAGAATTTGTTGTGAATCAGCTACTTGTGAACTATCAGGGGATCTGAGTGGCCTGTTTGACTGGTAATAATATGGGGATGGGAGGACCTCCTCACATCTGACCCAAGCACAGTTGTGTAAGAACCATATCTGATGAGGCTGAAGTACCTGTAAGTGGTTTGCACGTGAGCAGACAGACACTGTGGTCATCCAGGATGGGATCTGTCTGCTTTTTTTCCTTGCAGAAACACCCAAGGCTTGAATGAGAGTAAAAGAGCTCTTGGGTATTAGAGGGACCATGCTTGAGATGCTCAGTCTGGGGCATTCAGGGACTTGTGCTGAAGTTGTCCAAGAGTTCAAGATCTTGATGCAGGATAGGAATGTCAGTTATTGAGCAGCTTGGGCTGTAAAACTACTGGCTTGGTGACTTGTGTGTTGTATAACTGCACAGAAAATAAGGTTGCTAAAGCTGGTTGGTTTGCAGACCAGCTCCTCTACTTGGCGTGAGGTTTATTTGTGAAGCCTTCAAGTTGTTTACAATTCAACTGGGGATGGTTTTCTTTACTATGTAGCTTGCAGATGGGGACACAGATCAAACTAACAGGCTGAGCCTTGGAAGGGGATAAATGTTAACTGCCTCACCTATGAAAGTGTTAACTAAATGTGAAGTCCAGCTGGACAAAACAGGGCCTCAGCTGTCAGCAGTAAGTCTGCACATCTAGGATAGGAAATTTGGCTGCAGGAACAGTGTTCCTTGTTTACATATTAATATAGCTTATACCTTTTGAATCAGAGCTCTGGTTGCTGCAGGCATTTTTGCTTTTAAGTAACTTCAAGCCAGGCTTGTTGCTCTAGAACTTGAAATGATCAGCTGTCTAGATGACAGCCAGCTACACCTTGTTTATTGTACAGGAACTCTTCTTGCCACTAGAAATACAGGGTTATGAAGCACAAGTTGCATCCTCTTGTGGTGATTGCCTATGTGCCTAGTGCTTTGGAGAAAAGAATAATCCAGGAGTTACTTTCATCATGTCTGCATGTCACAATAGTAAAATGAACAGCTTGGAAGAATACTGCAAAGAGCACTGCAAAGAGTGCTACTGTTCTTGAGACCTGCTCAAACTCAATTGATTAGCCGTGTCCTCTTCCTGAACAGTAGCTTGCACTGGGAAGACTTTATGGCTCACAATAAAAAGATGGTCCAGGCAAGGAACCAGTGTTTTAATAGGCTTGCTGTGTAGTAGTGTTTTTAGCTTTGCTGCTGGGCGGCTGTGGTGCTGAAGACCCTTAGTCATTGTCTGGCTTCAGCTTGTCCTTTGCAGTGAAAGGAAGTGTGCCCTTCCTTAAATTCAAAGCTACTAAGTGGTTAGCCTTTTAGACCACACTCTTCTAGAGGCTTTTTCTAATTGAGATAATGAGGGGCAACAGTAAGTGGCAGAACAACCTGTCTCTTGTGGAATATCCAGCTTTCACTCCTTTGGAGTGCTTGGCATCTCTCTCACAGAGTAGGAGAACTGGAAACAAACTATCTCCTCTTCTACTGAAGATAGCACTGCAGGTTATTTGGGAGGAACAAGTACGCCAACTGGGATAGCAGGCTGTCTTGCCTCTACAAGTGCCCAGGACTATCTAGCAACTTAAAACGTCTTTCATCACCGATGCAAATAGTTTTAGAGCGATGGGGGCTGTTTGCCTTGTATTTGAGTCCATATAAAACTAGTGGATGGCTTTGCTCAATGTGAATTCATAATGCGCTTTCTGGGTCTCTGCTTGAACCTGTGCAATTTCACTCAGCTATTTGTTTGCTGTGGAATGCTGCAGTCCTTGAAGTCTGCTGTTCTTGATCTCTGGCGGCCCTCTCAGCCCATCTTCTGTTGCTGTCAGTCTGCATTGCTCAGGACTTAATGGTGGTGGAATTTAACTTCACAGTGAGCCTCTAAACTTGCTGCCCTGGTGCTGAATGCAGAATGCTCATCTGTATGCTCATTTGCATCCTGTATTTCCTAGTCAGGTTTTTCTGTAGTGACCCACAAATCCAATAATTCCATATTCGCAGAAACTAGCTGTTGTCTTGTTAGACTGAATGGTCTTGTCCTTTTTTCAGTTGAACCTGTGGTTAAGCCCAAGCCAACGAAGAGGGGGAGTGAGAAGAATGCTGGCAAATCAAGAAGGAAGAAAAACAAAGGGAAAAACAAAAAGAGAGGGACTCCATGTGAAATGGAATACAAAAACTTTTGCATCCATGGTGAATGCATATACCTAGAACATCTCCAAATGGTGACCTGCAAGTAAGTTAAATGTACCTTGCGAGTTAGATATGGTTTGCGTGAGCTAGTATCATATGAGGGCTTAGAGGAAAAAGTAATGGCAACTTGGCATAAATCCATCTCCTGCAGTATTTTGACTGAGAATCTTTCTGCCATGTAAATTAAGTGGTGATGGAATCTGAGATGCATAACAAGCCACTGAACTCATCAGTTGGTCATAAACTCAAACCAAAAGAATGAAAAGGTGTGTCTTCCTGGAACATCACGCCCAAACTAATCTTGACTTGTTGAAATGCTGACAGACCTTGTGCTGAAGCAGTGACTGCATTTCATGAACATGCTCTAAAGCTAGCATCCAGCTAGCTGGATCCAGAGATTCATGTGAAACTCTGAAGATCTGTTAGTCGGTCATTTGGGGGTGTGGGGATGTCCTTGGCTCCAGACAGCACCAGAGCTGATAAGAACTTGTATTGATGTTTGCTTTCAGGTGTCATCAGGATTTTTTTGGCGAGCGCTGTGGTGAACAGTTCATGAAGACGCAAAGGAAGAATGATGTGGCAGACTACTCGAAGACTGTGTTGGTGGTGGTAGCTGTCCTACTTTCAAGCATCAGCTTCGTTACTGTACTTATCATTGTGATAGTGCAGTAAGTATTATGCTCTTCAGTTTTTGTCTAGCTTGAGCAGGGCTTGTGTCCAGTAACACCAAAAAGTGCATGGCTTATCTGAGTTACTTATGTGGAACGTGACCAAAAGGACTGAGTTCCTCTTCCAGCTCGCATATGTCTTGAGGGTAGAAGCAAGGTCTAAGGTGTTCAGAAATTGATGATTCACTTATTCTTTCATGATTGGATATGGGCAGCCTGTGACCCATATACTCAAAACAAAAGCCCTTCTGCTTTTCCTGTAATAAGCATGGCTACAGTGCTGCAGGACGTGAGTGGGGAGTGGAGGAGGAATGTTAATGCTGATGCAGTGGAGTGCTTCTGGAAAAGAAGCCTGTGAGGACTAATATAACTGCGCCTTGCCCAGCTGTTATCCAACAACTGGGTACGCAGCTGGAGGGAAGGGAACAAAGCTCCAACAGTCCACTTATTAATAAAGCTTGCTTTGCTTAGATAGTTTTATTGGGGAAAACCAAACGGGGAGAAAGTACTGTTAGTATGAAATACTGTACTGCTTTCTAATAAGACTGAGTAAACAACAATTCCAGGATAACAAACTGCTGGCAGTACAGCATGGCAGGTAATGAGAATCTGGGGTCCTGCTGCAAATAAACTAAAAGACCAGTTGTGGGTGGGTACTTCAAGTCTGGCATAAAATTCTTCTCCTGTACCTGGTAACAAGCTGTACACAACTACTTGACTTGCCTGCCTGTGCCTCCGCTCCTTGTCAATGCCTTCTCCAGGACTTCTGTGGACCTTGGTAGTCCACTCTAGGCATTTGACTTCAGTGTTACCTGAATATAGGAACAGTCTTCAAGTTCTCTGTGCAGCTCTACCACAGTAGAGCTTGGGATAGTGGAGGCGAAAGCATCTAATTTTAGATCTGGCAAAGTAAATGAACCAAACTGGGTACATGCTGTACCCTTTCCTGCAATTCAGGAAACAAGGTGTGCATTTGTTATTTGACTGTTGCTTCATAATTAGATCTGAACTTGAGGAGTGCTAGGAAGAGCATGGGTTGTCTGAAAAATGCTTTTCATTCTTCACTGCTGTTAGGAGCAACCAGTTCTATAGTGCTATAAGAGCAAGAAACAATTATCGTTAGGATCTAGAGTGATCCATTTGACAGGATGAAGTTTGATTCAAGCTCTCACAGGCTTGAATCATGATGCTCATTCCTTTGTGCTTTCATCTAAGAAACTGTGACCCATCTGGAACACTTAGGCAAGACTTAGAAACTGGGAGAAATTCAGTAAGCAGCTTTCAGGGTGTTAAAGGGACATAAGCACTCGAAGGTCTGTCCCTGCTACAAGCAGGGCTCTGCTGGGGGAAGGAGGAAGGCAGTGTGGTCTTGTCAGCTGGTTGCTAAAGCGACCAGGAAATCTGGCTCAGCAGTACTGCCCTGTGCCTCCAAGTCTCCTGGTCCTTTGCTCAGCTTTAGCAAAAGAGCCTATTCTTGCTACTTAACCAGGCTTGAACCAGGAAGCCCCAGCTCTGTGTGGTTGAACTGCCTGTGCCTAGCCCAGGGACTCCTTGATGTTATCATCAAATACTGCTTGTTGCCAAATGATTAAACTATCTTGCCTGAATCTTCCTTGTGCTGAGGAGTTGCTTGAGGATTCACAGGACGTGAATTTTAACACTGTAGAGGATGTGTGGGCCGATAACAGGATGTGTGTCTAGGTTCAGAATGACCTTTAACATGCCCTAATTCCACAGGGTCAGGAAAAAGTGTCCTCAGTATGAAGAAAAAGAAGAAAGGAAAAAACTTCGACAAGAAAACAGAAGTGGCCATGTTGGTGTGTAAATGAGGAGAAAGCAGGTATGAAAGCTGACCTGTAGCTCCTTTCAGTCTTCAGACTGGCATTACCTGTGTGAGAAAAGCATGCTTTTCGAAACTAGCGTTAGCTTTTGCTTGACAAAAGTGCCTTGAAACATCAAGATTACATTATTTGATAGCTTTCTGGGTTCCCAAAACCCACCTGAGGTCAGAGTGGTGTGAATTCTTACAACTTTTAACAGTATTGGTGGCTTTCTGGCTGTTATCTTAATCCAAGATGAGGCAAGAATAGAAAGCTCTACTGAGATTAGTAGAGTACCTTTGGAGAAAACTAATACCTGTCAGAGATGCAAGAGTGCAAGAAACCATGGTAGACTTTGCATCAGAGGAGATGGTGCAGCGGTGAGGTGGATGACTGTTCCTTATAGAAGTACTGAGCACTCTTGCCTTTTTTCTCCAAGGCGTTAGGAAGCTTGCAAGGCTCAGAGGCTGTAGGCAAAGACAATTTTGCAAATTCGGGGAGCACTGTATATAGCCCCTCAAACAAGTTCCATACTCTCCTCACAACTAAGTGCAAAAGCTCCTTGATCTGTGGATTCGCCTTGGGAGAAGTGTGCCTTTCAGTGAGGGAGCAAATCGGTGTCTTTACTTCTAGCAAAAGTATTAACACAAATTAAAGGATTTGCATTGAAGAGGAGTCTACTGTAAACTGAAGGAAAAGCTAGAAAGGGTCTTCAGGAAACATCCTGGCTTTGCTTTCTCTAATGTCAACTACAGAGCTTGGCTTTATCCAGTGATGCTTGCTGTGTCTTTCTCAAGAAACTGTTTCTCAAACAGTTTCTCAAAACTTTCTGAAGCTAAAGAATTTCTAATGAAGTGTCCCTGTGTGTGCATGCACATCTGTACCTACATACCTTGGATGTAGTTTGACCTGGTTCTAGTGCAGAGTGCTCATGTCCTGGGTCATGACTAATGTGCCTGGTCTGCCCCTTACAGAAAAATTCTGATGTGGCCACTGCCAAGCTGCAGGGTACCTCTGGCTACCTGACACACCCACCTGGACACTGTGGGCTGGAGCTGTTGCCACTAAGCCCTGATTGATCAAGACAGAGGTTGCTGCCAGGATATGTCCAACATGCCACTTGCTGCTGAATCACTTGCTGGGGAAGACAGCTACGACTACATCTTGGCACAAAAATGTGCAAGGAGCTGCCACTATGGGGTAGAGAACTTGCTATCAAGACCTGCTAGAGGCTACTGCTACTGAGCCCTATCTGATCAGTGCTGGAACTCCACTTTCTGCTATTATGTGGATGGATTTTCATCTGTTTGGAAGTCTCCTTTGGCAGCTTTAACTCCATGGGAGAAGCACATTCCTGTGGTTTTCAGGAATGTGCAAGGTGGAGGGGAAGACCTTTTTGCCTTCTCCCGAAGTTAGCGACAGAGCAAGCTCTGGATAGCTTCTCCCACTAGACCTCTGGACAAAACAATTCTGTTCTTGCTGAGCTCCCTGTTGATATTGGCTTCAAAGAACTTCATCTCTAGTTCTGACTTGCAGGGTGTTGGTGACAGATCTTTGTCAGCCACACCTGGGTTCTGTTACTGTACATATGGAAAGTAGTCCCCCTGAAATCAGTAGGACTTGCTGTGTGAATGGAGTTATCCATTTGCATGTGTGCTCACCTGACTTTAAACTAGGCTCCTCAGGATGCTGAGGCAGTAAACATGAAATAAGAAGCCTTGTATCTGAAGGAAAATATCCATGCTCAAAGAATCTGGTAAGCCAGGACATGAGTGGTATAGCATCTATCAGTTTGCTATAAACACAAAGCTACTTCTGTTATCCAGATACTCCATGTTGCTTTGAGCAGCATTTGAAGTAAGAATGCTTTGAATCTGATCATCAGTTGAGAACTTGACCAAGAACCTGTTTCTCTGAAGAACTAAATTCATGTACTGAAACTCTGCAAGCGGTGGTCTGTGCTCTACTTGCTGGTGCAAAAAACTCAACTTACCTCAGACTCTTGGGACCTCAGTGTCCTTGGTTTCTTGAACTGTCCACGCAATCTTGAGCACTGAGTATTGAGTTAAGTTTCTTGGAAGAATCTGTGTTCTGTTTAAACAGCAGAATTCTTCTGTTAGCGGAGCAGCACCATTAAGTGTCAAGTCATATCTAGAAATGTGTAAATATTTATTACTGTATTTAATATTTAATGTTTCCATAACAAACTTATTTATTTTATAATTAAACTTTTTACATAACCTTTGCATGATAAGAGTTTTCTTGCACTCAAGAGTACTTGTGAACATGTCAAACCAGAACTGCTTCTCCTCTAAGCAGAATTTAAGCACTCTTCAGAGCACACAACAGGGCCAGGAGGAACCATAGCATGGTGTCAAGTATGAAAGCTGAAAGCTCAGTGGTGTGTGCGTAAGAGTGCAAGCTGTTAGTAAACAATGTGCAAATGCAAGTATCTGGAAGGAAGTCCATTTAATTGAACTGAAACACAGGCATCTTCAAATTACTGGACTAGGAAGGGGCCAAGTGAGTTACTTGGAAGCAATGTCTCAAACTGAAGTTTGAACAAATGAATAGCCCTTTGCAATGGAGTGGAAAGATGGGAATACTTAACAGGAGTCTTTAATCTTTGTGTGGTCAAAGTGAATTTGGACAGCACCTTGCAACTTTGTCTTATGTAAATGAGGAAAAGCAGAATAGCTGAAGGCTAGTGACTCCCTAGCCATAAAGGGAGCCTTGGCCTGCACTGTCTTCCTTAAGTATGTCTACATCTGCAGGTAATTCCTAGTCCAACTTTATGCTGATGTCCTCTAAGCACCTCCAAGAGTGAGTTGGGGTCTGCGGTCAGGTTCCTAGAAAGTAAGTCCATATGAGGTCGGTATTAAAGCCGCCTTCTTAAGGTGAAGCTCAAGAAAACTGTTTTGAGGACCTACTGTAAGAAGGTTTCCTACTGTGGCTTACCTTGGGGCAGATTGGAGGGGAAGAATGGTTTGCACAGGAACTAATGTTGTATACTCAGTGCATGAATAGAATAATCATGACTGTTGCTTTGGCCTCTTGAATTGGACGTGTTACACTCAGACCCTGACTTTGAGACCAACATGTATATAGCTGAGGTGCAGGTAAGTGTATATTGCAACATCATTGGGAGTATTACAGTACTTCATTCCAGGGAATGTGCTTCATTACCAAAGTAAATAGTACTTGTCAGAGTGGCTTTTCCATGGACATTTGCTCTTGGAACTCTGGCAAGAAAAGCTGCTTCTGTAAGTCATGCCAAGGTTTTTGCTTTGGAGTAAACAAGCTCAGTCTCAGTGGTAGCTGAGCAATACCCTGGTGAGACTCAAAATGGATTATAACTCTCACTTGAAAGTAATGAGACTCTCCTTCCAGAAACTCTTCTCTCTAGTCTTCTCTCTGGAGTCAGTGCCATGTTTTCTACTTGATAAGCTAGATAAATGTTATATCACAGAATACTGAGCTGTCTTCCTTCTTCCTTCTCTAACTTTAAAGCCTAACAAAACCGAAGTTATACAACAGATGGAATTCACAATTTGTGCTCTAATATTTTTCATGCTCCTGTGATTACTGGGTGGACTGGAATGCATCTCCCAGAAACATGCAGTTAGGAACTGGAAGTGTTAGACTGAGCCATTTCTAGGAGGTTGGGCTCTTTGGAAAACTTGAGTCTTAGTTGGAGTTGTCCTGACAAACCTGAACTCACATCAGTAATCACATAGGAAAATCCTTGCTGCGTGCCTCCTTAGCTAAAATTTTGGAAACGGTGGAGGACAGGCTTCCTAGAAGATGTAATCTTCTCTAGGCATCCAGGTTGAGTCACTTTTTCTGAAAAGTTAAAGCAGCCAGCAATGGTTTCCTAGAGGAAACTTTTGCTGTGGGTTAGTCGCATCATCACTGCTTTAGTGCTCGCTGTGGCAGCGGAGCTCTTCTGTGCCTGTAGAGACAACTGCTGCTATGTGGTTATCTGTGTGTTAACCATTCCCCTGTGCTAGACAGGGAACTTCCCATGTTTCCAGGGTGGCCTCTCTGAGCGCTGTAAAATGTGTTCCATTTTTGCTGAGAAAATTCTTCATAACAGACTTAATGCAGAGAATAGAGGGAGATTTACACTGCCCGGGTATGATGATTTTATATTCAGAACTGATACACAGCTTTACAGGTAAAAGAAATTCGCAAAATTATGTTGTTAATGAATAACAGCTTATGGTAAATAGTGATAATTGTATTTTCCTAACAAGCAGTAATCTTTTCCTACTTGGGCTATGGCCCTGATTAACAACAGCTTATTACTAGCTTCTCAATGTGAATTTGATACACAAGCAACATCAAGACTTACCATGTCCAGTGGGTTGCTTTACAAGCAAAAGTGGAGGAATGGAACTATTGTCTGGTAGTCTTTTGCTGTCCAAGGATGCTGTGCTTGTGACAAGCACATCTGATCTGCTACTGTGCAAGGCCCAAGAGAAATTGTGTTGGCGATCCTGCACAGCCAGGTCTGCTTTCCAGGTTACGCATTTTCTGGCTTTTAATCTGCTCCCCTGACCCTGGAGTTACCTTAGTTCTACTAAGCATGCCTGGATTTGCGGTTCCACATCTTATTAGTAAGTTTAGCCTCCCCCCTTTTTTTTTTCTCCCTTAGCCTTCCACTGGTAATATTACTTCGACAGCAGAGTTTGTGTGTCCTTGTCACCTGTAGGTGCTTCTGCTGAGACCTAGAAGGATAGCTTGGTGTTTCTTGTGCAATTTTCTACCCACGTGGCTGATTTTGCAAGGTATTTTCGGTATCCAGCTAAGTATCCAGGAATTCCAATAGTGTGAGGGTCATGTTTGTTTGCATAATTCCTTCCCCTTTCTTAAATGTTTTGTTTTCAATCTTTGAATTAAAAAAACCAAACAAACCATTAGTTCCTCACTCTGTTTTCTCATCTGTGAATGTTGTGGAGCTTTTGCTTTTGCAGAATGGTTTCCTGTCTGCTTTTGAACTTTCCTTTCCTCTTCCTACCCCACCCCCAGTAGCCTGCTCATCGCTCAGAGCACTAGCAGATGTTCCTCTGAATTTCAGCCTTATGGATGTTATAGGATGTCCAGTTCTTCTCAGCGGCAAAGAAAACGAACAAGTAAAAGATTTTTCTTGCTGCTTATATAGCTAAATCCAGATATGCGTGGACATCTATGAAGATGCTTGTATTGACAGTTGTTGTAAGTGCGCGTTGTGCAGTGTTGCCTAAATCCTCCTCTTGAGATATTCATGCCACTTCCAGTAATTGGTATAAAGTTTTGTGTTCTTAAAATAACTTCAGACAGTTTTTGTATCAATAGCCTTACCTAGCCTGTTAGCATGACAAATCTTTCAGTGAACTACTTGAACAAACATCTGAAAGCGATATTGTTAAAAGGGACAAACAAATGCTAGCCTATATTTGAAGAGGTTTTCTCAGACCGCTAATGGTACCCTGCAATTGCTTTGCTCTTCAGGAGTGATGGCTTTGTGTTCTTTGTGAACAGCTGAATGCAGTAAGTGAGCATGCTCAAGGAGCAAAGACCAGTCGTCTGTGTCAGTGATGCAGCCTCTTCGCATGAGATTAAATCAGTGGACAGAAGGGTCAGACAACCTTTAATAAGCAAACTTTGATTTCCCCCTCTTTTTCTGAGCAAAGCTGTACATACCTGTCATTCCTCTGCTGGTTACACCTTCCTTAAGCGAGTTATCCTCATTTACTGCAGGTCTGGCTTTGCCTATGACTCGTGAGATTGCTTGGTTGAGACAGCTATGCCTGTGAAAAAGGAAAGAGCTATTGCGTGCACTTACTGTGGATTTAGGCATGAAGCCAAGGAAGCAGGGTTTGTGACTTTTCTAACCAAAGGAGACCTGTGAAGTGGGAGATTGAGTCCAAGGTGTTTTTAAAAAACAAAAAAAGGCTTTCAAAATGTTTTCTCAGTAAGGTGGGTGGCACCCACCTTAATTTTTTTTGAGTATAATTCAAAAAAAGCCACTTTTCGTCTTAGTACTTTTTGACTTAAATATTGCAGTCTGGTCTTTTTGCCACTGTTTGGGACAAAAGGCAAAGCTGAATAGGCTGAGAGCCCGCTCTCTAGTGCGGCAATTCTAATGTGTCTCAACATACATGTCTTGCCTTCATTCCAGTGCCACACATGCTAACTCAGAACTATCATTGCTTCTAACTGCTTTTGGCTTCTTGCCTACAGATATGTTGGTCCAGACCTTGGAAAAATAGCTTCCTTTTTGGAGTATGTTTTTTCCTTGCACAACTGATGATGAGTTCATATTTGGGTTCCAGATTGCAGTCACTTTTAGATCAAACTAGTTCATGGGTGGTACTTGAAACCTGCTAGTTTCCCAGAAGATAAATGAGGAAATGTTTCAGCATCTGTTGTGTTCCTTTTTTGTAGGAAAGGAAATACCCTGAGCACTGCAGGTAACTACTATAAAAACAGCAGAAACAAATGACTTTTAGGTGTCTAAAGCAGTTAATGTATTTTGAAACATCTCTATTAGCATGTCCACCTGTATAGCTCCTGTCAGTACACGATCTGAGCACCTCAGAAACGATCCAGATCATATAACATGTTGTGAGACTTGCATTCCACTCCTTATTTCACAGCCGGGATGATAGGTGAATTGTTGGTGGTCAAACAAGAACTGAAGGCTGGTAGCTCTCCTAAGGTTTAGCCGCAAGACTTCCCTTCCTCTTGCATCCTTTGCCCTCACATTTCTAAGCGGTGTGATTTACATTCGGAAATAATTAAAGGTGCACACATGAAATGCAGGTAGAAGGAGTTGCAAATGAAACTTTGATGTATAACTTTCATAGGTACAGAGTAGCTATGGCTCCCATTGATATCAATCTGCATTGTTTTCATACAGTATCTATCTCTGTGGATCTGGCTCCTTCCAACTAAAGTCGCTTTCCTGTCTTATGCCCTGAGACAATTACAGTCAGGATGAAAGGCAGACACTTCTTGGGTGGAGTGGAGCAGAGCAAAACCAAACCAGGGCTTAGGGCAACAAATGTCCTGTCAGGTCTTAGTTCCTCTCATTTATGACGAAAGCTTTTCAAGAATATGAACAGTAGCTATGTGCGTTAATCCTGTTGAGACTTTCTACAAAAA